TGGGCATGGCATTATTTCCGTTTGAAGGGTAGCTAAATGAGCTATCTTAACGTATGTCCTTTTTCGGGCGGACACTAGAGGAAGACAAATCGTTCCATGCGGGATGGAACACTGGAAGGCGGGGACCGTGTAGTTGGGGAGCTCACTCTTTGCCTTTTCACTCTGACATGGCAGGTCCATTCCCTGGCTCCCTCCTCACACAGGAAGTCAGGAAGAGGCTGATCCTCAAGCGCTGGCTTCCCAATCTCCATCTCCTCCTTCCTGGTCCTGCCACTGATCTGTGGTCTCATCCTGTGACCCTTGGGTTTCCAGCCTATGAGGAGGTCAGTCAATGTAGGAACCCGGTCTACTACTTCTCCCTACGACGTCCTCATGCCTCACACAGATGGTGAAACTGGGTTGGTACTTCAGCGATACTGATTGGATGAAGGTCCTTTGGCAACTGTCAAGGGTCTGAGGTCCAAGGACAGACACATCATGGAAAACTGGGGAGGACAGAGCTTCCATGTCCACAGGCAGAGAGGTCCCACATCCCTCCTGCTTCTCTGCCCCTTGGTCTCCTTTCCAGGTTCCCAGCGGGTCTTTTGAGTCTAGGCGTAAGGTTTTTAGCTGCTACTTGCCCTGAAGTGGACAGCCGATTACTTCTCTGTACTCTGTTCCTAGTCTGGAAGCTCCGCGCTGAAACCGGTTGACTTTGGGTGATCCTGCTGGCATCTGAAATGCCCATGACATAGCTTCCAAAACCACAGCCACACACAAACCACCACCGTAGACGAAACTGACAGGCAAGTGGTGGTAGAGCCGTGGTTCTCAACCTTCCTCCTGCAGGTCCTCCTGTGCTGGTGACCCCCAACCTTCACATTACTTTCATTGCTACTGCATCATGGTCCTTTTGCTACTATTATGAGTCAAGTGACCCCTGTGAAAGGGTCGTTCGACCCCCAGACGGGTCATGACCCAAGGGTGGAGAACCGCTGTGGGTAGAGGAAAGGAGCAACAAACAGGAGGAAGTTCCTCAAGGAGGTCAATTGACACAGTGCCTCCAACAAGGGGCGCAAGCAGGGCCACACAGTGAGGAGGGTTAGCGAGGACCAGGGAATGGGACGCGCCGGGGTCACTACGGATTGGAACCAACTCAATGACACCCAACAATAAGAACAACAACAACAACAGCAGCAGGTCTTCACAGACCCTCCTCCTCTCTACTCCCGCCTCCTTGAGCAAGTCATTCAGCCTCATCCACCTGCAGTCCTCTCACCTCCATCCTCAGTGGGCCCAGCTTTACTTTTCCGATGCCAATGTGTCTGCCTTCCTGAACAACGATGGAGACCACCGTGTCCACACGCCCTTTGGATGTGGGGTCTGCACATGACATTGAGCACTCCCCCGCCCTGCCACTCCAAGAATGGAACTTCCTCAGCTCTCCCTCGGGGGCTGCAGGGAGGCCCTTGGCATAGCTCCTCCGACCCCCCTGTGCTTTGTAAATGCCGTGAAGCTTCCTCCCTCTCCCAGGGTCCCTCCACCGTGATACTCCTCCTCCATCTGCCTTCGTATCCGTATGTGTTCTCCCGATTCTGCCCACACAACTGTCACACGCTTTATGCTCGAGACAGGCTGGTCCAGGGCTGACGTCCTCTCAGGCCAGGCCACTAGTGGACAGCGGTGTGTTCAAGTATATGAGGATCACACGCAGTGCCTGTGCTAAGTGCCGGCCTTTTAGGAGAGGTGTGCAAGCCCAGGGCATCCTGCTTTCTGTGCACAGCAGGCTTCGAGCTGTACCTCTGGCCCTTCGGCACCTGGACTGTCCCCTTTCTCTCTCCATCCCCATCTGCACGTCCTTCAGGGCCCACACTCTATCTCTGAGAAGCTTTTCCTTACTTGTCTCACCACAGAATGACAACTGCCCACCATTTTCCTGGAATCAACGTCTGTTGCAGTTGTGAGAGGCATCAGATTGATTCACGGTGACCTGACGTACTTTAGATCAAAAGACTGATGGCTCTTGCTCCATCTGCACCATCGTGGCTACATTTGAGCCCATTGTTTTTGCAGCCACTGTGTCAAGCCATCAAGGTAAGGGTCTCCTTTTTCATTGACTGTGTACTTTACCGAGCAAGCTCTCCTCCAGAGACTGGCCCTTCCTGATCACATGTCCAGTGTGCACCTTTCATTCCAGTGACCCTACTGTCCAGATGGGGTGACCCAGTGGCTACAGCAATGGACTTAAACATAACATCAATTGTGTGAATGCAACAGGACAGGGAATGGTTTGTTCTGACGTACACAGGATCACTGGGAGTTGGAACCTACCCAATAGCACCTAACAACAACAACAACAACAACAACATTCCTATATTGTTTCTTACTTGTTTAGTTGATGCTGCTACTGACAATAATAATAATAATTATTATAAAACCCCAGGCCAAAACTGACTGCCACTGAGTCAATGCCAACTCACAGCAACCTGAAAAGACCAAGTAGAACTGCCCCTATGGGTTTCTTAAGACAACCCATCTTTACAGGAATAGAAAGCCTCATCTTTACCCCACAACAATCAGAGTGACAAAGAAAGAGGACACTACCATTTATGGAAAATCTACTAGGTGCCTGGAACTGGGCTAGGCCAGGGATGAAGTTAACCTTTAATTTTCCCAACAAACTATAAACTATGTGGTAATTCAATCTACTGTACAGGTAAGCAACCATGGCTTAAAGAGAAGCTACTTGCTCATAGCTCCACAGTTCCTGAGCAAAACTACGACTTGGATCTGCAGGGCCCAGGGACTGTTCACTGTGCTGTGTGTGTGTGTGTGTGTGTGTGTGTGTGTGTGT